CCACAATCACAAATTTATAAAATGTAATCCTTACTTTGGCCAATAGATAAGTGTATAAAGCTGCCAAATTAGGGATTAAACTTTATAAATTTGTGATTATGGTTTTAATTCTTGTTTCATTACTTTTGTAGCAGGATCTCTACTTTATTTTAAAAATCATAATTTTTCAATACCTTTTTTTATTACTTTTTATGTTATACCTGAATAAAGTATATACTTTACCTTTAGAAACTATCACATGTTTATCCATCAGTATGTTGCACCATCTGTTGAGTTGAATTGGATTAAAAATATATTTAAGTACGTGCATGATATGCTTACCATTTATAAAAAAATCTGTATATATTTATCGGAATATCAAAAGTGGATACCCACAGACCAGTCAAGTAAGCTGGAGAAATCTTGTAGTGATAGTCTGAGCTGTCTACCTAGACACAGGAATGTGTATACAGTATAAAACAAAAGTCACATGACTGGAGATTGTTTAAGGCTTAATAACAGTATCTTGTTGATGTTTAGCTTTGTTTAAAATTAGTGTTTTTACTTTTTACTAGATATCTTATGGTTTTATTTATCTCTTATGTTTGTAAACATGAATTGTTTTTTATGTTCATTACATAAAATAAAATTATCATCAAATCAGATAAGTAAAGTTTACTGTTTAGTGAATATGGTAGGTGATTGCAAATATTCTGATGACTCAGATCTTTATTGTATATTATCTTTATGTTTATTGTATTCAAGCAATGTACATAAACAAAAAAACTAACTGGCATCTTAATTATTTCTAATTGATGTTTTAAATAAAAATATTATTACTCTTAACACTGATAGTAAATAATAGACAAAAAAAATTATTTTCTTTTACCAATTGTGCAAATGGCAACCTTTAGAAGAGGTCTACGACATGACATCAAGGATAATTTGAAACTACTTAAAAGATTCCAAAACAGTATCAATGAAATTAGGAAGATTAAAACTATTTTAGAATAATTCAGTGGTGGAAAAGTTATGAAGGCAACACACGTACTCCCCCATTTGGTATGGGCATGTGTGTACTAATTGATTAATCAAATGTATTTAATTAATGAGTCAGTCAATTAATAGATTAGTAAATAACACTAATCACCCAGCTCTAGTTCTAGTTAACCTCCAAAAATGAAGACTTGATTTTTATTTGTACTTGAACTATGATTACATTTGTGATGTTACTTAACCCTTTGGATGCTATAATCAGATTTATCCGACTTGACATTTATAGCCATTTGGTGCAAAAAAGCAGATTTACTTCATGGTGTCATAAAAACTTTTCTTCATAGTACTCACACATCCTTGAATTTGCGCCTTAGTACCGTGCATACGTATGTCACAGAGCAAAAGTGCATTTAGTGGATTTTGATATTGAAAAATTACTAAAAAAAGATCAACTTCTAAATTTAATTTGTTAGTGGATAATTGACACTTTTCGAGAACCTACCCAAAATTTAATTACGCACTCTAATGGTTAAGTTTCAATACAAATGTCAAAAGCATTTTATAGTCATTTCTATTTTTAATTAAGTGATTTTATAATTTACTTTCACCCTTGAATTACATCATGGCATTATTGAGATATGGCCTGTCTAATACTTACAGTATATTGTGTAGTTATAATAATTAAAAAAAATATATACATATTTGTTTGTTTGCTTGTCTGTAATTAAATACAGCAAAAAACAGTGTACAATAGCACCATATTTGTAAGAATATTGTACCCCCTGAAATGAGAATAAAAACAGAATAAAACAAGTTTCGTTAAAATCGGGCCACGGGTTA